AGGAGAACCGAGCAGTGGGAGCGGTATTGCAGTCCACCGTTGTGATGAAGAGAGAGCTGAGCCATAAGGCAAAGCTCTCAGTCTACCGTCCATATTTGTTCCTACCCTCACCTGTGGTCATGAAGGGGGGGTCATCACCCAAAGAGAGAGACTGCAGATACAATCAGCTGAAATAGGTTTTCTCTGGAGGATGGCTGGCATCTCCCTTAGGGATGAGGGAGAGATCACTAGCAAAACTTGAAATCTTGCCAAGTATATTTGTCTTATTTCTAATCAGAATATCTTTACACTGGATATAAGACATACTAACTTAAGAAGTAACAATGCAGTGAGATATAGGGTCTTGTTTTAAACAATGCCTCTGAAATATCTTAAGTCAAAGACATCTTATTTTCAGTTGGATCTCAGGTGAAACAAGTGTTCTGTTTTCTGACTAACATCAGAAAACAGAACACTTTTGAGCATTTCTGGCTTATTTTGTAACACATTTCCTGATCTTTGAAAACATAGTTCAAAATAGGTTTCCCCAGCTAATTACCCCATCTTATTTCAAGAAATCTTACCAAGCACATTTCACCTTGTTCAATTGGCAGGTTTTTCTATTACTATTACAAGCGAGAACACATTGTTTTCATAATTTTTTTACCTGTTTTTGGAGCAGCATTTTCCCAGTGCTGAGTAGAACCGCTGCTACTTGGCGTGGAAAGGAGCCAGTTAAGGTGTGGTGGGTAGTAAGGATGCTGCCTAGCTGCCTCCCTAGGAGACCGAGGGACTGAGCCAGGACCAGGTGAAGGGATGACATCTCCACGCTGGCTGGGGAGCACCTTGGAACCCCCCAGTCAGAGGTGTTGATGTGGGGAAAGGGAAGTTTGGGGTCCTCTGAGACCCTTCTCCGGATAAGCGGTAGAAGATGGATGGATGGACAGCGTCAAATATTTCCCAGGATAAAGCCACCACACACTGCTAGCTAAACAAACCACAATGAACTGTAACAGATGAAGATCATACACATGTTCTAACGATAGAAAATTGAACAAGAGTGATTGTATTAGATATTAGATGTTGGCGAATGTATTATCTCCTAAAACTCATTAAAATGTGATAAAAGATATGAATCATTGTGAAATCCAGAAAAACATCACAGCAACATGTGGTCATTCATTTCACAAAGCATCAATAACAGCACGGACACAAAAGCATTTATAAAAGAACATTATTTATTTACAAATAGATATTTCGCAGTGATTCCAAAGTTCATGTAAAAGATTGTCATACTGAAACACGGTTCTGTCGTGACGGACTTGAATTGTACAACGTGTGACACAGTGAGCATAAAATACATGCACACATCTGTACACTCTGTTCCTGTCACCAAAATAGATCTGAGTACAAAAGATAGTGCTCAATATAAACATCTGTTTTCACCAGCGGACTCACTTTTTATTTTTCACAAGTTCTGAAAATGCACTGTTTGAAATATTCCTCCTCTGGGTGTTAAAATAACGGAGCTGCTAAAGCTTAGCAAAAATAGACTGTCTGTCGGAGCGGCTCTCTGCATATTAACACAGGTTCATCTGAAACAGCACACACTGATCCGTGTTGTTGTTGATCGAGGACAGGTTTGAAGAGAAAACATGTATTGTTATTAGAGCAGTAAAGGCAGAACAAGATCTTCCCCTGCTTGTGTCTGAGTTGAAGTCGGGGACAGGAAACTACAGATCAGACAGACAGAACAACAATTCAGAGTGACTGCAAATCATATCCGGAGAGTTTCCGGGCTGTGTGGAGAAAACAACGCATGAGCTTAGATTGGGTTAGAAACCAAATCAAAAAAGGGACAACATGACCTGTTTCTCTTTTAAAGGAAACTAAATATAAATTAGTTAGAATGCCTTTTTTAACAGCAAAGAATGTGCTTTTGAAAATTCTAATATGGCTCTTGACACTAAATAGCTAAAATGTATTAATCTACAATTTGTCATTATGTTCAGCAGTATTGGAGGTACGAGTCTTTTCTTCTGCATGAAGTGATCGTTTGCCTTTAGAAAATAGTGTTGCAAAGAGTAATAACAGTACAGTCATGCCTTAAGTGTGGCATGTGGTCAAAATATTTCTTAGTTCATTAAAAAACACTGTGTGTTGTATTTGAAATATGTTCGAATTTCGTGCCTACTAGTGGCTGCTGCAATAAAAAAATGAAATAAACAGTGACAGACAGTAAGCACATCGCTTCACCCACAGAAATACTGCAGGAATATCCATTCAAACTGAGAATGAAAGGCAGAAAGCAAAACATTACCACTGGCCAAAATCTGAAATCAATTTCACTAGAATCGACTAAATGATCTCAAAGAAAAGGCAGAATTAGAAAAATGCCATAATTAGATCTACAAATAGTGGCTTTACAAAGGTTAGATACATATTTTTGTAAAGTCCAATTGCATTTTACCCACAACCCGACCCTAAATTTGAAAAACACTAATTAAAATATACCTAGATTCATGTGACTTATCGGCATGTATGGTAGAGGATGAGCGCCACATGAGAAAAATAAATTGGGATATGTCAAGTTTTAAAAAAAATGTGAGTTCTGACTTTAATCAGAATCGCAGAATTGCGAGATTTAAGTCTGACTCAAAACGTTTTTTTTACCTTACGTCACATCCCAAAAATGTCTCATTTGGCACTTATCGTCTTCCGTAGACATGCAATGGGGTTCTGGGATTAATATGAAAACCAGACAACCGTAGTTTAGTCCCAAAACCTCTCATCAATGACTGGAGCTCCTCCAGTTGATCAATAAGGGTTGTATAGTCTATTGTTTAAAGCTTCATTGTAAAGCATGGCATGGTATTAGACAACAAATCCATAGTGGAGTAATGAAACACGCGATGGGGGGGGGCAGAAGACACTAACAGGATGTAGCATCACCGCAGGGGTCTCCTCTCCCCATCAGTCTCCTCTATTGGGCTGTAATTGTGTTGGAGCCTAAGTTAAAATAAGTTAAGAGTGGATTGGTTTCGCAGTGAGTAATGGCTGATGTCATGCAGGCTGAGAAACAGGAAGGAGAGCTCCCTTCAGCGAGGTAACAGCGCTCTGTCGCCCTCTGCTGGCCTCTTCAGGTAGGTGAGGTAAAACTCAAGTTATTCAAAAATATTTGATGGCCATGTTCAGTCGAGATAATCCACTGCTTTACTCGCTCAGTCACTTTATCTAGAAACATTCCCCACATATAGGATCTATTGCTGCAGCTCTACTCTTCACAGTATAGCTAATAGTGTTTATGACATTTTAAATTCTGCCAGATCAGAAGCATCTCAAAACATCACCAACAGTGAGCTATAAATAACTTCAAGTGGAGTGAGTCAATCAGTCTGAAATGGTATTCTAGGTTTACAGTTATTTCACAGCTGGTTGGACACTGGCTTGTAGTGCCGATCTCTCTGAAAGGATACATTAAACAAGGTTTTAAAGAAAAAAGCCAGTGATGCACCTTTATATCCCCTCTCAGGAATGGGAATATTACAAGACGTGGCAGAAGAATAGCTAATGTAACTGTTAGAAATCAAATGGTGGTCATAAACAAAAGTCAAATAAGTTTGTCTGTTAGATTAGCTTATTACCCCTAGCTGTTTTTAATGGCATTTAGGGACACACTATTTATATGATTTGGTGATGCAGAGCTGCACAATGCAAACAGAAATTAAACTGAGTTTTGAACAAAAGTTATTTAAAATGTTGGATGTCTTTGATGCTGAACAAAGTGTTCAAATAAAACGTCTTTCCTAAATTACATTTGGAATTTTAAATCCTGTTTTTTTTACATTCATATTTCTAGCTAGCAATATTCTTTCTCACTGCCCATGTAAGGGCATTGCTGTGTTTCTTGGCAACTGGAAAGAGTTACCATGTTCAAAAACATGAAATGGTTACCTTATAATAAACCCGTTGCTGCTCTAATGGACTCAGTTTGAACGCTTTGTGGATGTGTGAACAAAAGAACCTTTCTAGCTTTGTATTGTGAACAAGCAGCATGCAGTGTCTCACATTTAAAGATGTAAGCTCCGATGGGCAAGCCGTCCAGAATAGAAAGAACAATAATCAAATGAAAACAAGACATTCAGGCTAATGGACCTAAAAGTACAGATCCTTTCAAATAAAAAGCAGGGGTTTGACGAGCTTTCAGACGGAAACACACTCTGTGAGGACACAGACACACACCTCTCAGGCTGCACTGAGTACTTCAGAGATGGAAAATCTGTTTGGTAAAATCCTGAAGCTTTGGATTATACTACACAATATGGACTTGGCCAACAAACGTTCTAAAACAAAGGTTGTCTGTTTTTTTTGGATTTGACTGAACAAGAGAAAGTTGAATTTTTGTTGGTTTGTGCGACCAAAAAAAGACCAAGGATGGGAATAAAGTGAATGTACTGCACACCAAAAAGCAGCTAGTTTGCTTTTTTAGTGTCGATAGTCTGCTGGGTAACACATTTTACATTTTCAAAACTTTCTGGCCACACAGATCTAAGAACTAGCATTTAAAGCACAGTTGCATCAGAACATCATCTTTTAAACTGTTTCTGTTCCATTGCATTGTTATTTTGATGCGATAGAACACAACTTTCTAAAGTGTTTTCAAACATGTCCAGACAGAAACGACTTTCTAACAGCATACGGGGAGTTGAACTGCTTTATGATTAATATGGAAAAGGGAAGTCCTTCTGGGTGTTACATCTGCCCCAGAGTTTGACTGACAGGTTTCAGAAGCCAAAAAAAACTGCATTAAAGAGTTGAACTCAACAAGGCAAAAGCAAACTCTACCCAGCATCCCCCACTTGAGGAATGTCTCACCTCCCAGAGGACATAAGTACAACTTACTGGTATTTAAAACCAGTCTTGTGTTTGTGGCTCACACAGAGTATGTTTCGGTCAATATGGACAGTGAATCCATCACCATCACCCCCCCTTCACCAACAGAACAACAACTACCAGCACTGAAACATGCATATAAATAACATTTATAGCAAACACTGACCCATCCAGCCTCTCTACAGCAGCAGAGAGCCGCTGTCTGATTTGTCTGGACAAGTAAGAAATGACACGGTTAAGAACGAGTGTGTAAAATTAAAACAACTAACGGTGATCTCCGACATTCCTGAACTCCAGTGCAGCTACAACAGGCTCTTTAACAATCATTCAGAGAGGAATCCAACCAGGAGAGGATCCAACATGTCTATGAGCCTCTTTGGACCACAATGCAGTGCAGCAAGAACGATTTTGTAAGGGCTGTGACTCGGGAAAAAAAAAATGATATATCCATGTCTCGCTCAAGAGATGCTCAAAGAATTTAAGGATAATTCAGGTTTATCAAACCTTGATAAGAGTTCTGTACGGGCTAAACAAGCCCAATCTTTCAGATTCAACTAAACCCAACTAGTACTGCCCAATTTAAAACCTAAACCTTAGGCACCGAAATGATCCAAACCCGTCTAAAAACCCTAAACCTTTTCAAAACTCAACGGGCAGCAGAACTCTACAACCAAGGTCTTATTTTCATTGTTTTTGCCATCATTTATCTATTTGAACTATGAACAGTCAGATTATCTGATGGGTCAGGAACAAACCAGAAGAATATCTGGATAAATATAATAAAAATGCTTTTTCCCAGCAGTTTAGATGTGCATCCATGCTGAATCCTTAAATAGCATACTGAAAAAGACTCAGCAGCTGAAGCCCTCATGTATTCAGAAATCTACCAGAAGTACAGTAGCTCAAAGGTTAACCAGGAAGTGGATTGATTATGGGTGATCATTTTACGGTTCCCATCCTAATTCCCTCACATTCAATCAAGGTTCATCACTGTCCCAACTGAGATTTTAAAAAGTGAGAACTAGCAAGCCTCTTAAAGCTCAAACAAGTAAATATGGATATGAATATACCTCAACTTTCCCCTTTACATGTTTTACTGTTCCCTTGGAATTTTCTATACACCTGCCCTTCGTTGTTATGTACCTTTGTTTCTAAATCTCTGCATTAACTTGGTCAATTTATAAGTGATGGAAATGGATTGTGAAAATAAGACCACGTTGTAATAAACAAGAATTATCCTTTAAAAAGACGGGCTCAGGCTGATAAGCTAGTCAGCCGTGTGAACCCGGGAATGTGAAGTATACCAAATAGTTATGATAGAAATAGTATGGGGCTCCACCACATAGAAACTGACGGATGCTAACCTGCATGTTGGGACATTTGCACAATTAGCATAAGTTGCATTCATTTGCATGAATTAGCATTATAGCCTATGTGGACAATAGTGAAAAATGGCTTGGATCATTTTCAGGATCAAAAATGGCAGTTTCAACCAGAAATTGTCCCAAAATATCTCAAAATCAGTCCACAGAATACACATATTGGCATTTTCTGGTTAAAACTGCCATTTTGTGCAAATTGCCCAACATATGCAAGTTACCATCCTGCAGTTTCTATGTACTGGAGACCCCTACTATACATTTTAACATAGGAGTTTGGGGTACTCATCATTTCTGGTTTCACTCGGATTCTATGAGCTGGCAAACGGACTACGAGTGGAAGATTAATATTCAAAAAGGAATATTATGATCGTCAGTACGAGAGGATCTGAGGAGGAAGTGTCCTTCAGTGTTAGCGCTACATTAAGATCAGGGACAGAGACTACAGTCACACACATTTCCAGGGTCCCAGCAACATGAACCCCCCCCCTTCTCAGAAGAGCTTCAGCTGACTCATTTAATGAATATGCACCGACATATCAGGAGGCCATAGACCACATATTTCCCGACTCTCCATGGCAACTTAACCCTCAGTCTCACCTGAACTGTAACTTGGCCACAAAGTTGGGGGGGGGGGGGGATCAGGAGAGACAGAGGGAGCTGGGGGAGGAGGTGAGGGTGCACACGGGGGTGGGCAGGCCGTAGTAGGCGGGGTCAGTGAAGGGGAAGAGGAAGAGGAAGAAGAGGAGCACCCCCATCAGGTAGGAGGAGAGGACGGTGAGGCGGTGGGGGTGCTCCATCGCCGTGCTGATGGCGGGGAAACCCATGTAGTTACAGAAGGAGTGGCAGAGCACCGGGCCAATCAGGTGACCTGCAACAGGAAGAGGAAATATCAATGTGGAGATTCACTTCCTGCAGCGGGGAGGGGGATGGGGGGGAAGTAAGTGAACACTTTGGAATAATGTGTTCTAAAATATGGTCTGATCTTCACCTAAGTTACGTTAATCAACAAACACCATCTGTTTTTACTAATAGCACACAAAGTATGGTTTGCTCTTGTCCATACTGAATTTCAAAGAAGATTGGAAAAAGTATGTAAACCCTTAGACTTCAACAAAAGCTAATCAAGTTAGGAGTTAGCAAACATGTTAGCTTTAGCACATTGTGTTTGTCTGTCATTGTGACTTAAATGAAGACCAGATCACATTTTAGGACAAATTCATGCATAAAACCAGGAAATCCCAAATGTCCGGTTCTGCACCAAGTGTCCATACAGGGAATTCAATTCATGAATCAATTCATGTAGAATTAGTTTAAAGGAATACTTCACAATTCATATTTGTATATGAATTACTCCCACCATTCATCCACAGTGAGCAGAGAATATAAAAACACACTGGAAGAATTAAAGTAAATCGAGGCCAACTGCAAAACTCTCACTCATATTTCAAAGTATGATCCAAGTAAAAAAGCCTTAACAGTAGCAAAAACAGTGTCACCCGCATATCATGCCACTATTCCATGTGAGTATCCTCAAATTCAAGGACTCTTCAAGGACCTTCCTGGCCCAAATCCCTCTAGTTCAAGGACCCAACACGGCATCGTTTGATACATGGAGACCTCTCACAGAACAATTATTTTAAAAAGGGAAGGTTCTATCCTTGCAAAGAATGTTTAATTAAAATAACTTTCAATGACCCATGTCTATTTATAAAAACGTTAAGGCTCTATTTTTTTCCATGTCAATATTAAGGTGACAAGAATTCAACTTATTAAACCGAATGTTTAATAAGTTGAATTCTTCTTTCAGTTTATAGATCCTTGTTTCACGTGGAGGCATGCTAGGAATGTGTTTTCTTGATAAATTCAAGGTATCACAGTAGGAGTTATGAATATACAAATGATCAGTATGGAGGTGAAGTAACCTTTTAATTCAGACTAACTGTAACCATAGCTTTGGACTACTACTGGAGACCATTTTTTTTATTTGTATCTATTATTTACATTTCATAATGCAGAGCACTTATTGTCTGCTTATAAAAGTACCATCAACCCAATATACCTAAAAGATATTTTTAAAAACTAATTTGAAACAAATGTTGATCGATACTCAATGCCATTCCTAATGATATATGTCATGTCCCAAAGCGGTCTTCATGCTTTTGCAGAATATTATCTTCCCTTTTATTAACAAGTGACTTGGTAATCCACGGGCCTGGGTGTGAAAAAGTTAAATATGAAGATCTGTATTGCCGTCCAAAAGTGTTATAAAGCCAGTAGGGTATAAATAAAGAAACTTAAGAATATGGAGAATGTTGTTCTTAGGAAAGGATGTGAAGGCTCCTGACCTGTTCTGATGAAGATGAAGGCGGTGTAGGCCCCGAACACGGCTGTGTAGGAGAACTGGAACACTGCAGAGGAACAGAAGCTAGGTCAGCATCAGTCATAGTATCATACACTCTGACAGGACATTACAGCAGAGGTGGAAGAAGTAAGACATAGTACTTAAGTAAAAGGAGAATCACTACAGTGTAAAAGTACAAAAGTATAAGTATCAAAATATACTTAAGTTAATACTTAAGTACTTATTGTACGTAATGTCTTCTTTCAGAATCGTATACATTAAATGACTGGATTATTATTATTCATGCATTAATGTGTTCATCACAGCTGGTAAAGGTACAGCTAATTTAATAACTTGATATACTGCTGCTGGATATCTTAACCTTTAATTATATGTCATAGTTGATATATTACTTTATTTATATATTTTGTCTTGGTTTATAATCTGAATATGTAAAGTAACTAAATAAACGTAGTGGAGTAAAAAGTACAATGTTGGCTTCTAAAATGTAGTGGAGTAGAAGTATAAAGTAGCATAAAATAGAAATACTCAAGAAAGGTACCTCAAAATTGTTCTTAAGTACATTACTTTAGTAAATATATAGATAGACAGATAGATCATTTATTGATCCCAAATTGGGAAATTATTTAGTTACAGCAGCAGTGTGTTCAGGCATTAAAATCTTAACATCTTTAAAGGTGAAAAAAACAGCTGCAAGTATATACACATATCTACAGTTGAAAGAACATGAACCACAAAGAATGCAATATATAAAATATATAGATAAGTTAAGACATTTCTATAAAAGACCCATGTACAGTATTAAAGTAACAGTAACGTAGATGTAAATGTACTAGACAGTAATACAGTCCACCAGTGATTAAACCCTAGAGCCCACCTGCAGAGAGGAAGATCCCGGACAGCGTCCCCTGTCTGAACCTCAGCAGCTCGATCACATGGTGGAAGTGAGCTGAGGAGAGACCGTAAAGATATAGGAAAGCAGCAACATGAGCATCAAATGGTTGGGTTTGTATCAGCCATGAATCTGCTGCGTTCATGTCCTTATTGGATTCAAAACTATACGTCAAAACAAATAAAGACATCACATTCAGCTAAACTCAAGTATTTGTATTCTTTAGATCTCAGTACCCCTGCTTCTATTTGAAAGTATTTTTAACCATCAAAGTAACCGCACCTGTCTGACAGCACCTTAAAGGGAGCACAGCAGTGGAGTTTAGGGCTGTATCCGAATATCCGTTCGTTGGAGTACTATTCAGGTTTCAATTTCGTTATTCGTTTTCTTTTTTTTAATTGATTGAAATCTCCAATATCAACGTAAGAGCTTGTGCCTCTTCGGGGGGTGCTAACAATTAACCATACACTTTATCGATTACTTTCTCCTTCTTTATATGTAGATATGACTTTTTCTCCGTTAATCTCCGTTACGTTGTTTCCATAGCAACAACAACTTCCTGTCAACAGCACTAACTCTCCTTCAAAATAAAAGCATGTCCATAACAAATAGGAAGCCAAGCCAAATTACACTTAAGATGTATACAACTGTAACGAAAGTAACAAACACAATGCAATATCCTTTTCAATTTAAAAGAACACAAATTGGGTTGTATACATTAACAAATAACTATAAAACAACAATACTGTAGAAGAATGTAGAATAACAAAATGAATGCTGTGAATAAACCGAAATAAACGTGTTGAAGCGGTTCGCTGCCGATTACTATATTCGAATATTCGCTGCTGATTACTACCGAATATCCGGAGCCAGAAAAATGGTATTCGGGACAGCCCTAGTGGAGTTTATGCTATTTATTATTCAAGACTGTCCACAGACCTTCTTTAGATGCCCATGATTTTTGCATTTGTTGCAGTAAGTTTTTTAATAAAGTCAAGCTAGTTTCAGTATTTTGATACATTTTCATAAAGTAGTATATCAAAGTAAAAGAAGTCTTGGAATTTCTGGGAAAAAATACATCTGTAGATCTAAACTGTACAGCAAGGATATCCTCCCAATATTTTTGCACATTTGTTTACAAAGCCACCTCTTTTAAACCACTTTTTGTAACGATTCTGAATTGAATTTGAATTTTTTTGTCATATGATACTGTTCATAGTTTTTGGTATATCTATATTTCATGTAAATATTTATCTATATTAAAAATGTTTAATAGCTTTTTTTAATAGTTTTTTATAATAGATTTTTGGTCGTTTTTTCTTAGAATTTGAACTGTCTTTATGTATGCACCAAATACACCAAGTCATATTCCTCTATGTTAACCTACTTGGCAATACACCTGATTCTAATGGAGGAAAATACATGTACATTTCACTTCCAGCCATTCACTCAAGCACAGCTGTTGGAGCCACTTCCTGAGTTTGTATTTATGCATAATTTTTGATTAAATATACAGCATTTACAGCCTTAGATTGTGTGGTGTGTATTCTTTTATGAATTGGAGTGTGTTGCTCCTGCAGCATAAAGGAGGTTCTGCAGCCTAGCGGCAGATTGAAGCGATACAGTATTTAGACCTTGCTTTGTTAGCAGCGTGTGACAAGCTTGGTTCTGTATTTAGTTTTTAGAAAATAAATTCATATAGGAAATGGTTTGTTTGAAAGGGTTCATTTTTGCATTAACTGTTGGAATTAATAAGAATATTTTTTTTTCTCGCCTCTGGACATTCCTTTTCTCTTCACCACAGCGTCAGTTCATCAGTCAGTATCATAATCAGTGCACTTCACTCCCTCCTAGCTTCTCTCAGACTGGCAGGACTCACCCACTCCGAAGAACAGGGGGCAGGTGAAGATGGCGGTGAGGGGCCCGGCGCAGGGCACCAGCATGGGCAGCATGCAGGCCCTGAACACCAGCTCCTCTGTGAGGGGGGCCACCACCTGGTTCCTCAGCCAGCGCATGTCACTGAAACACAGCGACCAGAACCAGGGGTCTGCAGGGGGGGGGGACACAGGGGGGGTTATCACCTCTGAGGAGGACGAGCACTTCATTATAGAACACTGTCATATTGTACACTGAAACAAAGTCCTGTCCTGCACCTAAGGGTTATTTATTTATTTGAAAACTGACAACAATGACAAAGTGCTGTCATTGTTGTCAACCCACACGGTTGTGGGTGACCATGTCATACAACATACCATACGGAAAACATAATAACCTCTCCCCTTCAGGTCAGAATAAAATAAATAACATACAAATAAATGAGTAAATAAGTGAGTACACTAGATAAATAAATATAAAATGCGGTCCTATTCTGGGATATATGGAAAAGTCTTTCTGTATTTCATTCTAATTGTATTCCTTTTTATCATTTGTATTTATTTACTCTATTATTGAAGTCTTGTTTTATTCAGTCCTGCGCTGGTATTAAGTGTTCTTTTGAATCACAAAGCTGTGTTACCTTTTTTTTGTAAATTGTCTTTGTGCTTGGATTGTGAAGCGCTTTGAGTTACCTTTGTGTATGAAAAGTGCTATATAAATAAAGTTTGATTTGATTAGAATGTTTTATTTCTCTTTGCATAGCCATAGAAAGATATTTCTAAATGTTTACAATGTGTAACTGATTTTTCAAGCTCTAAATATAAATGATTATATGTCCTTTATCCACAGAGTGTGGGAAGGTGGTGCTGATTGTTTCCATCTTGCCAATAGAGTTATAAAAGCCATAGGACCGCTCTGAGCCGAGGCCAGGGGTCAGCAACCTTTCAATCAAAAGAGACATTTTGCCCGTTTGTCACCAAGTATAATATGTCTGGAGCCACAAAAAGAAATTTGATAAATAAAACGAGTCTGTTGCATCTGTAAACTTAAAGATTTCTAAAATGTTAAAAAGGTAAAAATGTTGAAAGTCTATTTCAATCTATTTCAATTGTTTTGAAGATAACATTTGTGATATCAAGCGTAAAGGTAATCCAGCATTGATGGAAGTGAAAAGCAAAGGAATCACGTCTCACCTATGGCCACCCGGAACCCATCCATGAAGCTCCAGGGACAGTCCATCGCCAGCTGCATGAGCGGGCCCAGGAACAGCACCTGCAGCCGGACACATGCACACACAGGTCTGATTTAGGAGGGGGAATCTTTTATTTTATTTTACCGGGACCCTATTTCCTGATGATTTTTGTGGAATTTCCCCCAGCGATTATTAGGGTAGGCCTTTATAGAGAGCACCGATCACACTATTGAGAGTGAATATCGGCCGATCGATTGGAGCATCCCTAATTATTAATGTGAGTCTTTTATTTAGCCACACTGATTAAACTTAAACAGGACATGTGCTGCACCCATGGATGAAGGGAAAATGAAACTCACAGAAGCATAAATTACGATTACTATATTGCGTGTATTTAAGAGCCATTTGAAATGTTACCACCTTGGTTTAAGCTAACGTTAATAGCCATATTAGTTCATGCAGCTGTCAATGAGCAAGACCTGACGTGGTTAATTCACGACACCCTTGCCAGCGTAAAAAGTAGGCTATGGCAAATAAAACTATATGACTTTGCTCCATGTTGGACAGCGATCCTCCAGACTATTGTTCTGCACCAGCACGGGCTACTATTAACGTAGCTATTATAAGGTGCTGGTATATATACTCCCGCCCTCCACGGCTTTATCACATGTACTTCACTTGTTTCATTTACAACTTTTGGGGGGGAAAAGCACAGTTAATAATATATATATATATATATATATATATATATATATATATATATATATATATATATATATATATATGTTTTCAGTTGCACCATATTAATAAATAAATATGTATATAAACAAACATGATAGTAAAAATGTGAAACATAAGTCCTAGCAGCCACAGGGACACAGCATCTTACGCTCAGCTTGCTTAGAACTCGAGCAACGTCAAACCACTATCCAGTTGAGATCTGCTTCTTACCATGGTGAGCATCAGAGGGAGAATGATGGCAGGAATGAGGCCTTCGAAGCGGATCCCCATCAGAGAGAGCAGCGCTGGGCCGGTCTGACACACAAACACATTCAGAAGAGTCAAAAGCAGAAGAATTCAATGATAATTCAACAGCTAATGTGCCCGACAGCAACACGACAACACATACAGTATTTCATGGTGATGTTATGGTGGGACACTCACCCTGACTCCTGTGAACTGTCTCCATGTCCACACAAAGAGAGGAGACAGGCCGGAGACGATGAGCACGCTGGTGAAGCGTCTCTTTATCACAACGGGGTGATCCCTGAGAACAGGAACAAGATCACACGTCACATGATCTGATTCAGCACACAGGACGGAGACACAGCTGCTCAGAAGTCCCTCACAGCACTGTAGTACCACCAAATGGTGGTTTTTGTTTACACACTTTGCATTTATATATTGGATTAATCTTCTAAAAGACATTCAAAATATAATTAAAAGTTCAATCCTAAAAATCTAAAATAAACATATATATCATTAAAAACACAACTACCAACGCTGAATGAAGTTCATACATCGTTCATGCCTGCTGTCTATTCATTGTACATTACAAAATGAATGAACTGCAAAATGTTTTTTATGGCTAAAGTATATATAAAAGTTTAACTTGGTATTATTAGCTAGTATTGTGGACTTATTTTGAATATGATTTCTGACAATCACATCCTAGGTTCACTAATATTTCAATGGTTTTAAAGAAAATAAATGATTGTGTATTATACAAAAGAGTTGAGACAACCAGGTGATGATGTGTGGGATAAAGAGGGGTTACTATCTCTGCTTACCAATGTCCTAAGAGAAACTATAATGACATTTGTAATTTAAATTCATATAAATATATATATATATATATATATATATAACCTTTTCACATATCTGTATATGTACATTCACCTGATCAGAGTTTAACTCATGTTATTTTTGATACTTCTATTCATACTGTAACTACGTGTTTATTCTTCTTCCTTTTTTTTGGAATTCTTATTGTGTATATTCCCATGTGTACTAGCTGTGAGTCTGTCTTGTTTCTGCTATGACACCTGCATTTCCCTACAGGGATCCATACAGGTCCATCTTATCTTATCTTAAATGCACCCTATTTACTGTACTCTTTTAGTGTACATACAGTTGTGCTTACTACTTTGACCCTTTAGCTAATGTAGTGTTATTTCAGCAACGTAGCAAAGGTTAACTTGTGGATCTCTGGATAAACATTGAGACATAGTGTGTGCTCTATGGGAAATGACATACACAAAATACACACAGGGCAGAATGTATGAGTAGGGGCCTCGAGCAGTTTGCTTTGGGCCCCCTAACAGGTTTGTTCAGTTATGGTTGAGCCACAATGAGGAATGTTCAGATTATTGCATCCTAAAGTCCACATAGAGGCTGTCAAATACAGTATGAAGACCACATGCTAAGAGAAAACATGAATATCAGATGGAACATAGTGTTGCAAAATCCCCTTGAGCCTTCGGCAGTTTTGAAAGAAGCACTTAGATTGTATGCTTAAGTAAAAGTTATAATACCACAGAGTCCTGCATTAAAAAGTATACTTAAGTAAAAGTACAAAGGTATTAGCAGTAACATGCAACCAAAAGTTCTCCTCATCCAAAGTGGCCATCTTTGAATAATAAATATTATATTACTGGTTTATAATTAGTGATGCATTGTGTTCATTTTGCAGCTGGATAAGGATAATATAACTTTAATAACTTGTTATACTGCCAGGTACTTCCATCAATAATAGTACATCATAATGTATTTAATTTTTGTATTAATAATATGAACCTGAAGTAACTGGTAACTCATCTTTAAAAATAAATTTAGTGGAGTAAAAAGTACAATATTTGTTTCCAAAATGTAGTGGAGTAGAAGTATAAAGTAGCATAAAATTATAATACTCAAGTAAAGTACAAGTATCTCAAAAATGTACTCAAGCACAGTACTTGAATAAAAAAAGAGTGGGGATGCAATAATATTTGATGACAACCATTCTTCATCAACTTTGTTGTTCTTTAATTCATATATTTTTTTCCATATATATCTGTATGTATGTTCATTTTTTTAAATTATTATTATTATTATTATATATTGGGGGAAGTTAAATGATGTGTCATGTTGAAATGTTGAATGTATTGTTTAAAAATCCCTACTAATTTAGTAAAAAAAAAAAAAAAAACATACAAAAAAAAGTACAGTACAGTACTTGAGTATTATGTACTTAGTTACTTTCCCCCACTGGCCTTATGCAACGGTAACTATGACAGAGTGGACAGAGCACGAGCCAACCAGGTAGAAGAGAGTAATTAAACCCTATTAGTTATCCCTCCGCAGTGTGGGGCTCACCTGGGCAGATCACTCCTCCACACGTACAGACTGCCCACATAGGAGCACGCCAGCAGCAGACAGGACAGCACGGACACCCAGCACAGCCCGTCCGGGGGAACGAAGTCCCCGCTGCTGTGTTTCACCTCCTCTGTCAGAAGGTCTGCTGGTAGATCCCCCTCCGCTGCCATAACGACTGCCGGTTGAGACTGGAGCAAACTACTACTCGGCACCGGGCTGGTTGGTGGACCATCTAAGACGATAAAACACCCAACAAGAAGCGCGAACTTATCAATAGTCTCATTTCACAGGGGAGCTAACCATAATACATCCATGGAGCTAACGTCGCTAACCGGACTGATAGCTTCTTCGGCGCGCTCTAACTACGTCATCACATGTCGCTGCTTTTTCTTCTTCTTTGAGGTTAGGGCAGCTAGCGTTCTTTATTGCCGGGGCCTTTCTCATTTCGCTAATTTCCCCTCCTCGACTCCTATCCTCGTGTCTTAGTCCCGCCCACAGGAGATGCGAGCGGAGGAGCCGAGGAGGGGAACCGAGGAGAGAGGAGGGGAAGCAGCAGGCGGTTAGAGAAATTAGAAATCCTCCCCTCTGAGCGGTCATTTTAAGGAGACGTCCATTAATGATGACAGGAGGCACAGTTGATGGACAGAGCTGTGTTCATGATGACTTATATATTTACTTTGAATTCATTCACAGTGCGGTATAATGAGACAATAACAGGCTACAGATGCGGATATACACACACATATATATATATATATAAATATATACAATTTCAGAATCAAACAAGTATGAGAGCATTCACAGCATAATAAAGTAACACTAACAGAGACTGGATATACCCCCCCCCCCCCCCCCCATTCTCTGGTCGCTACAATGAGGAAATGAAATTACGGGCAAGTTTTATTTACAAGTAGCCTATTACAAGTAAGCATAGGACACTAACCAACCAACTGAGACCTGTCTGTCCGCCGCATCTACACACACACACACACACACACACACACACACACACTGTACCACACGCACCTATACAGCTCCTAAAGCATATAATATCAGGCTACAGCCATTGTGTATTTTATTATGTGAAGCACTAAATGGTTTTAGACAAATATCGACTCTTTGTTTGTAGACTAAACTAAAGCATACAAATAAAGAGAGTAATGTAGGCCTGTTATACTGAGTGATATATATTATACACACTGCTCTGCTTTCTGCACGGAACTCACAGAGTTGAGTAAAGTTAGAACGATATTGGCAGATTCGGATTTCACGGATCAATAACTCATGAACAAGACGTTGTTCAAACACAAATTACGTCTCCTAAGTACCGTGGTAAGGTTGAAAACGAACTACAATCACATTTTGATAAAAAAAAGCCAATACATGTCCTCCAAACTGGGCACATTACATTGGTCTCTATCTGCAGCCGGAGAACAAACGAGTGCTCAGGGACCGTCTGCAAAGTGCAACTCCGAAAAAAGAGAATACAATAATATTCAATCACTTCACTATTGTACAGTATATTTCTACCAAACTCACTACACACATCAATAGTCTCCTGGTGGTCATACTACAGCAGAGAGTTTGGAAGAATAATGGTTTTGAATAATTTTGGTGAATATTTATAATGTAAAATCATCAATAAATATGGCATCATCTTCAATAATGTTACTATTATACAGTATATTTCTACCAAACTCACTACACACATCAATAGTGTCCTGTTGGTCATACTACAGCAGAGAGTTTGGAAGAATATGGTTTTGAATAATTTTGGTGAATATTTATAATGTAAAATCATCAATAAATATGGCATCATCTTCAATAATGTTACTATTATACAGTATATTTCTACCAAACTCACTACACACATCAATAGTGTCCTGTTGGTCATACTACAGCAGAGAGTTTGGAAGAATATGGTTTTGAATAATTTTGGTGAATATTTATAATGTAAAATCATCAATAAATATGGCATCATCTTCAATAATGTTACTATTATACAGTATATTTCTACCAAACTCACTACACACATCAATAGTCTCCTGTTGCTCATACTACAGCAGAGAGTTTGGAAGAATAATGGTTTTGAATAATTTTGGTGAATATTTATAATGTAAAATCATCAATAAATATGGCATCATCTTCAATAACTGTAGTAGTGTACAGTATATTTCTACCAAACTCACTACACACATCAATAGTGTCCTGTTGGTCATACTACAGCAGAGAGTTTGGAAGAATAATGGTTTTGAATAATTTTGGTGAATATTTATAATGTAAAATCATCAATAAATATGGCATCATCTTCAATAACTGTAGTAGTGTACAGTATATTTCTACCAAACTCACTACACACATCAATAGTGTCCTGTTGGTCATACTACAGCAGAGAGTTTGGAAGAATATGGTTTTGAATAATTTTGGTGAATATTTATAATGTAAAATCATCAATAAATATGGCATCATCTTCAATAATGTTACTATTATACAGTATATTTCTACCAAACTCACTACACACATCAATAGTGTCCTGTTGGTCATACTACAGCAGAGAGTTTGGAAGAATATGGTTTTGAATAATTTTGGTGAATATTTATAATGTAAAATCATCAATAAATATGGCATCATCTTCAATAATGTTACTATTATACAGTATATTTCTACCAAACTCACTACACACATCAATAGTCTCCTGTTGCTCATACTACAGCAGAGAGTTTGGAAGAATAATGGTTTTGAATAATTTTGGTGAATATTTATAATGTAAAATCATCAATAAATATGGCATCATCTTCAATAACTGTAGTAGTGTACAGTATATTTCTACCAAACTCACTACACACATCAATAGTGTCCTGTTGGTCATACTACAGCAGAGAGTTTGGAAGAATATGGTTTAGAATAATTTTGGTGAATATTTATAATGTAAAATCATCAATAAATATGGCATCATCTTCAATAACTGTAGTAGTGTACAGTATATTTCTACCAAACTCACTACACACATCAATAGTGTCCTGTTGGTCATACTACAGCAGAGAGTTTGGAAGAATATGGTTTAGAATAATTTTGGTGAATATTTATAATGTAAAATCATCAATAAATATGGCATCATCTTCAATAACGTTACTATTATACAGTTTATTAATACGAAACTCACTACACATTAATATTACATTTAGCTGACGTTTTCATCCAAAGCGACTTACAATCGGTATAGTCTCCTGTTTGTTATACTCCACCGATACATTTGTATAAATATTTTTGTGAACAAAACTAAATATTACAGATTTAGCCAAAGTTGAAGTTAAAGTCAACTTTAGTGTCAAATTTTCCACATGTGTTATACAGAAACATTGAAATGCCGTTTCTTACAGTCCCACAGCGTGAACAAAAACAACATATATATATAAACAACTTAAGAAAGTTCTAGCTAAACAAGGGTATAAAAGTAAGTAATACATATAAAAAACACAATCAACAAGAAACATGAGTTGGACATTAGTGCAAGTACTTCTTAGTGCAATAAATTAGGACTAGGATTTAGGACTAGAAATGAAGCCGAATCGTGAAAACATCTTCAGGTGCAGATGATGTACACGATAATATACTTTACTTTTTATTTCCCCTCTAAAGATCAGCTGCCACACCTTAAAAGAAAAAAAATTGGTCCATGGCAAAAGGGTGAAGAGTTTAAACCAATCAAATGAAGTATTTAGAGCAATCAAGCCTCCAGCCAATCACTTGCCTTCAATAAAGCATACATGGATCATGCCGTTTTTCAGTGCTTACAGCAAACTATGAGGATAGACATTTTTTAAAATGTATGCTACTGACACAGAGGACACATTTTGCCTAAATATAACACTTTCAGTACTTAATGCGCTGGGACTTCTTTGAAAACATGCCTCCACTCCTGTTCCAAGGTTATATGTAAGTATTATTTTATTTTATTGTCTTTTCATTGAAGTTACTAACAGTCATTTAAGCTATGCTTATATACCTGTTTAGACAATTACGTTTGAGCTCATCTTGTTAGTATTTGATCAACTGAAATGTTACTGAATTTAAACTACAAACAAATGTTATTTGTTCCTGTTATGTAATATTACACATATTAAAATGACAAATGACTAGTTTTGCAAACCAAAACAAAAACCCAACTTAGTGTTACATATTTGGCCACAGTTTTTTTCTTATATGTACTTCTAAAAAGTTTACTTCAAACTCTTTTTATATTGAAAACAAATATTTAGCTTTGCCTGTCCTCCTTTTCCTAGGTTAGATGCAATTTGAAAATAATGGGAAGAGTTAAAAAAGGAAACAGGGCCCAGAGGAAGGACTTATGGGCAATGGCTGGTGGAATGGAAGCTTTGGTCCGAGCAATGAAGAGTGTTCACATTACCAAAAGAGATACAGGACATTCTTCATATATTTGGTCGGAACTCGCTCTAATCCTTTTTGGTCATGATGATAAGAAAAACCGTCATTGGCTGTGGGTTGTATGGACCAACAATCGAAAAGGATTGAGGGATTTGATCTATAAACGCCAAAAATCATTAGAGAAGAAGGAAGTTCAGGTAATGGAGGAAAATCAAAACGAGAGAGATGTTGGAGGGGCATGTTCTGAAGACTGTCTTACAAAGGACTTACCTCTGAGCATGATTCAGAATAAGGTATCAGATGAGGACACAGAAAATAAAGAAGGAGAAGACAAACAAGAAAGGATGTCTTCTCAGAGTGGACGAGAAGTAGATGACCAGTTATCAGATGAGGACATAGAAATCAATGAGGCAGAAGACAAACAAGAAAGGATGTCTTCTCAGAGTGGACGAGAAGTAGATGACCAGTTATCAGATGAGGACATAGAAATCAATGAGGCAGAAACTGAAGAACAGAATTTGCAAAGAGGAGCACAAGATGACAATAAAAACACAGGCCCCAAAACACATTGGCGGAAGTTGCCAGTAGTATCTAAAAGGTTCAGAATAACAGTAAATCGAAAGAAATGGCAAAAGATTGTTCCATTGACGGGTTCAAACAAACTGAGGCAACCGTGGACCGACGTGTTGTACAAGAGTTTTCGAGATAAAAATCCCTGTTGTACACTTGCCTTCAAGAGTCACCACATAAAAACTCCTAACAGCAGGAAAATTAAAAGTCCGTACTTAAACATCTGTGCAGTTTGTACATTCCCTTCCTGCAGGGCCAAATTCTTCTTTAAAATCCAAAATGAGCCAGTGGGAGACACCCTTGTTAAAATATCTGTGCTGCAAAGAGGGAAAATGGCACACAAAGCAAATGAGAAAAAATTCTGACCAGCAGCAAACAGAAGAAGAGGCAGAATTGCAAGAGCCCTGCATAAAGGAGTGAGTCAAGTATTTTACAGTAAACTTAAAAAAACACCTGTTGCTGAACTGATTTCAGGAAACATAACCCGCAGTC